ACATGGGAGCGCTCAGCACGCCCTGCTTGAGCCGGGCCTCGGGCGGCGCCCTTCCCGCATTCTCGCGGCGGATGGCGAGGTTGAGGCGGTTAAAGTAGCGCACCACGGGCACCGTGGCGAGGATGCCGATGCCGAGCGGCAGAAAGGCGAGGCCCACCTGTCCCGCCGTGAAGCCGTAGGTGGCGCCAAAGACGACGGGGAAGGCCTCGAAGAAGATGAACAGGACCGCATACGCAAACGACGTCCATGCCGCCGCGTACGCGAGCGGCAGCTCGGTCAGCAACATCTTGAACGGCCGCGAGACGTGCGTCGTCAGTACACCGCGCACCGTTAGCCGCTGCGAGTCCAGCGTGGCTAGCAGCTCGCGCTCGTAGATGCTGCGCGGCGCTTCCACCTTTTCGGTTGTCGCCGTGCCGCTGCCGCTGCCGCTGCGGTGCTCGCGAAGCAGTCGAAGCGCCTTGCGCTTGAGCAGTACAGGTCGATACGTCTCGCGCTGCACCAAGACGACGCACAGGGTAGAGACGCCGCCGAGGATAGTCAGGAGCCAATAGATCCATCTCCACCGGTGCGACTCTGGATTCTCGCCCGCGAGAAATCCGCCGCAGAGCGGGCCGAGGACGGGCCCGCCGAACGCGGCGCACGTGTAGATGAACATGGGCCAGAGGCGCTGGGCAGGCGGCCAGACGTCGCTGATGGTGGCGCCCGAGTTGGACTGCGGGCTGGCGCCGCACAGGCCGACAAAGAAGCGGCAGACGAGGAGCGAGGTGTAGCTGGGCGAGAGGGCGCAGCCGATGTTGAAGAGCGTGTAGCCCGGCAGCGAGACGAGGTTGACCGTCAGCCGGCCGTACGTCTCGGACAGCGGCGCCCAGATGGGCGGTCCGATGGCCAGGCCGATCATGTAGACGGTCAGGATCAGCGACTGGTGGAAGGGCGTCACTGAGAACTGGTGGGCGTATTGGTGTGCTGCCCCCGTTGCTATCGAGGAGGTGAGCGTGCTGTCGTACCGACGTCGTAGGACCGGAAGGTGACTGTCTGTGAGCAGGGGTGCGGCAGCGAGCGAGCATCGTAGGCCCGGATTCGGCGCGTCCGCACTCACGCGGTGCAGTAGATGAGGCACACCAACGCCGTCGTGGCCCACTTCCGGCTGTCTTTCCACTTGGTCGGATCCTCGTCGTCGTCCAGAGTGAGTTTCCACTCTTCCTCTTCCTCCTCCTGCTGCTCTCCGCTCCGCGACTTCTTTTCCGCTGATCCGAGGACGGGCGAAGCGACACGGGTGATCTCGCCGCTCTGAGGCTGAAACCGCGTCTCGTCCCCGTTGTCGTCCTCGTCATCGATCGGCCGACGACCGCTAAACGGCACCTCGTCCACGTCCGCCTTTAGTCGCTTCGGTATCGGTGGCAGATCGAGGTCGAGAGCATGCGCGTGCGCGTGCAGGTTGGCGTGGCTAGTAGACGGCGTATTGAGCTTTGTCGCCGTCGCAGAGTGTAGATCGTGCTGTGACCGGAACGAGGTCGAGCTCGTACGACGTGGTGGATCCGTCATGGTGAGTCTGCGCGGCGGTGGAACGAGGCGGTGTGATGGATGGTGAAGACCATGAAGACAGTGAAGGAAGATGCGAGAGCGGGAGGGAGCGGAGGCAGCTATGGACCTTGCTGAGACAAGACTCCGGCACCAGCATGTCGAACTCACTCGCTGCCGCCGGCTACCGGTAGGCTTCGAATCTCGTACCGGGTCGGTGTCGACGGGCATGCCGTACCGGCCCTGACCTCCTGCCATCATGCACCGCGGAATCCTTGCCTTCCAGTCCACGCCGAACCGCCGGACCGCACCAGGTCGAGAACAAGGATGTAGTACTGTCCGCTGCACGACGAACCTCGACCCTGCCTGGCTGCCCTTCTCAACGTCCTGCCGTTGCAGACGTACATACTGTACATAGGCCGACCGACCGATATCGATGAGGTGCCGAAGCATTGCGCCGCTTTCAACACGCGGCAGCTGCGTCCTGGCGTTTTGACAGCTCGGCCTGGCCTGGCCTAGCTACGGTCGGTAGCCTTCGTTCGCTCGCTCCCTCGCTTCCAGCAGCGCCTTTCGGAGAATTTCGGGCCGGCAGAAGTTTTGCCGTCCCGTGCCGTTGGGCCTTCCCTTGCCAAAGGCATAAGCAAGCTGAGACGAGCGAGCAGATCCATTGAGCATTCTACAGACCATCATGCTTCAGCACGGAGTAGGCACGCGAGCAAGCACGGTCGGCGCAGACACCGTAGTTTCGAAGGTTTTGCTGTTTCCGATGTACCACGCTGTTCTATACAGGCCCGATCTAGAGGAGAACCAAGGCAATGGCGGCGAGCGCGACGACGGCTACGGACGCCATCGGACCCGAAACGGTCAGGGCGGCGTCGGTGTAGGTGCGCAGGTACTCGATCTCCCACCGTGCGTCCCTGAACGCTTGCGGATTCTCTGTAACATCGCAGGTCGAAAAGCGAGACCAGCTTCGTGTCAGCGATGACCGCCTTCGAGCAGACATACAGCTGGGGACTGGGTGAGATCGAACGACCATGGCTCACCTCGCACAAACTGCTCGCAGGTCACGTTGCGGTTGGCGGCCGCGCAGCCACTTGTACCAAACGTCTCGCCAGCCCCTGCATCGAGCGGCGAAGAGAAGAAGATAGGGTATCAGCAAGGCAGTGCCACAGCTCCGTCTCGAAGAGGAACAAGGTACCCACAGTCGCCGCAGAAACTGTGTCGGTCGAAGCGTAAAGAAACGAGCAACATCGACTCAGTCAGCTTCTGCACAGCCCATCATAGAATCCAACGCTCGCTCGACTCACGTCAGGTTGATGATGATCTCGTGCTCCTCAAAGTAGTTCTCCATCTGGCAGACGCCCTCGTCTGAGCTTCCCGTCAGCGCGGCGGGCGAGGCGGTGGCATTGGCAATGTTAGGGAAGAAGGCGGCGGGCTGACCCCATTTGTCCAGCTCGGACCGGTCCGCACCCGTCGCGTTGGCGTTGGTCACGACGTACTTGGGCGCTGACCCGTCGGCCCCTGCTGCCACCGCTGCGGGCAGAGACGAGATGGGAGTCGTCGCTGGCCAGAACCACACCGAGATCTGCGTGGTCGATGCGAGCACGAGTTGGAACGATCCGTCGGTCAGCCTTCGCACGGAAGCGGAGAGGAGAGGCTGCTTCGCGTCTTTACTCACGCCCTCGCCACCGGCTCGCGTATCCCTCCGCATGGCGTACCATCCTCCGCCGCTGTCACGATCAAGAAGGAGGCGAAGGAGCGTCTGGTCAGGATCGTTCGGGTCGCCCGAAGAACCACCGCCTCTGTGCGGTTCTGCGAACTCACTTTTGGTTGAAACCCGGGCCAAACGTGTTGTCCTCGCTGAAGCGCACCGAGCAACCCGGCTGATACGAGCAGTCGCTCTTGTCAGTCACTCTGCAGAGCCGGCAATACGCAAAGGATGGAAGGTGAGCAATCGTCTCGGATCCTCGCGAATGTGAGCGCCGACTTACCCGGTGTGCAGCTCAGACGTGCCAGGCGTGATGTGGCAACCGTGCAGAGTGTGAAGACTGGCCAAGTTGCGAGGCCCTTGGTCGTTTGCGCCCTCGAGGATGTCAATCTCTCCGCCCGCAGGCCACCGATCGGTCGTACAGGTCCAGAATGCCGGCCATGTCCTAAGGTCGGCGGCGGCAGCGGGCAAGAGGAAGGAAGCGGCCACACCTTAGGTCAGCTCAGAACACTCCATGCTGCCACGGAACGAAGCGAAGCCAGCGACTCACCCGCAGCCCTGGGGCATCCAGTGGAAGCGCGCGACGAGGATACCATCGCCCATCTTTCGCTTGCTGTGGATGCGGACGCTCTGTCTGGCCTCGCCGAGGCGGCGGATGACGGTGTTGCTGTCGGCCTTCATGACAAAGTGGCCGCGCTCGTTGACAAACGAGAGGCCGGCCGACTTGGCACGGTCCTGCGTCACGTAGTCGACGGCGCCGAGCGTGGGGTCGTCGTAGCTCCACCAGTTGAAGGCTTCGAAGAAGTCGTTGCCGCTCAGATCCTCCCGCAGCGTGAAGTTGCGGGCGCTGGCTACTACGGCCAGCGACGGGAGCAGGAGGGCGACCAGGCAGGACAGTCTTGACAGCGAGAGGCTGACGTTGCGCTGCGAATGGGTCCCTGACCGGCGGGTGGCGGCGTGGTGAGACATGGCGGAACGCAGGTTCTCTATGGTGCGAATCGGTCGTGGCGGTGGGGTAGTATGTCGCGTCGGCCGAGGTAGATGGCGAAGGCTGGAGCGAGGCTGCGACGACGGGTGCGCAGGGGGTATCAATGATGTTGCGAGCGTCTATATGGAAGTCTATGGTGTGGAAGGAAAGGAAGACGGGGTGAGCGAGCTTGAAGGGCAGCAAGGCAACCGTAGATCGGAGGGACAGGACCAGGCGGGAAAGACAAGAGGAGCGGCTGCCGAGTCGCTTGGCAAAGCTTCCAAAGCCTTGGCAAGACCCTCGAGGGGGTCCGCATGTCGAGGAAGTCGTGGCGTGGCGAGACGAGCGAGGGCGGGGCGGGTCCTGCATGCGTCAAAAGGGGAAAGCGGGAAGCAGCCATCACATCTGCGACACGCTCGACGTCGAGCCAGGCCCGACCCCCTCGACACCGGGCGTTTGCCACCGCCGCCACGAGGAGCCCGGCCGGCCGGGAGCCAAAGATAGAAGCACGAGCGGAGAAACGGGCTGCCGCGTGCAGATCGCCCCGACGGCGGAGGGCAAGGAAGGCATGAAAATCTTGGGTCGGCGTCTGGGGGACGGGAAAGGCATCGAGGCCGGGCCAAGAAAACTTCTTAAGGCCGCCGCTGCGAGGCTCGCTTGGCGTACTCGAGCACCGCCTCGTCGTCGTCGTCGGCGGGCGCGCTCGTGCTTTGGGAAAGAAGCGCGATGGTCCATCGTATCTTAGCCACGAGACACGCGGGCTGAGCAAGGTGACGGTGGCGACGCCGGACAGGTACCGGTACCGCGCAGCGCAACGGACAGGTGGGGGGGCCTAGGCACCCCAGGTGGCGGCCGCGCGGGAAGCAGGCGCAGCGACGGGACGCCTTCTGCTGCGCCCTGGCCCGGACACAAGGGCGCTCGCTGGTGCCTGACGCAAGTTCGGGCTGCCAGGCAAGGTGGAGGGCAGAAGCTAAGGGCCCTTTGGCAAGACAGCCGGCCGAGAAGAGTGAGTGCGCAAAGCGGCGTGGGCGCAAGCCTGGGCCGGTGTTGGTCTCGAAGCTCGCGTGGGCGTGGGCTGAGGGCCGCTGCGGGACCCTGCAGCTGCTGCTTCTTTCCAGGCGCAGCAGCGAGCCAGCACCGTCGAGACCAACACTCCACCACCACCGCCGCCACCGCCGCCGCCACCACCACCACCATCGCCGCCTTCCACTCTGGCTTTCCCTCTTGTCTCCCGCTCACTCCTCGTCTTTGAGAGAGACCTTGCCACGACACCCAACAGGTCTTTGCCCTTCCTCATCGTCCGTGCTCAAAGGGCCCGCCCAGCCGTGCGCTCTGCTTCGACTCGTCGGCGTCTAAAAGGGGGGCTGCTTCCGCCGACGAGTCTAGCTTTCGCCCTTGCCTGCCCAGCATCCTCTTCGGCATCAGCTTTTGTCGGTCATGTCCAGCACACCTTCAAAGCCGCAGGAGGGCTGCGCTTCGACGAGATGCCAAAAGGAGTGCTCGCCACTCCTGGCCTCCTCATCTGTGAGACCTGTCGTCATCCGTTCGGATGACGATCCCCCGCCTCCCCCCAAAAAACTGCCCAGCTTTGTCGCACACGGCTCGCATTGGACCTTTTACGACACAATCAACGTTGGCGTGGCTGCCGACGACGACTATGTCGCCTATATCAGCACCGCCAAAGGAGATCAGTCCGACGCTTCGCCCGACGCAGGCAACAGAGTTGGCGGGGCGATCGCAGATACCGCCGCGCAGCTCATCATACCGGACAAAGACACGACAGATGTCGTCATCCAGACGCCATGCCACCTTCATCACCTCCTGGGACACGCCGAGGCCATCGCTGGCACCGGCCATCATTGCACGCTCTGGCTGTGTCTTGGCACCGGGTCCTTCGAGCTGTTCTTTGAGGACGAGTATCGCGGAAAGGCGCCAGAGCAACTTGGTAGGCAGCCCGAGTTTGTCACCATATCGATCTCCTTCCTCTCCGAGGGCCGCTTTCACGAAGTGACGTTATGCGCAAGCGGATCTTCGACATACAAGAGCTTCAAGAACAAGGGGAAGACCGTTCCGGTCAAAGTGGGTAGCCGCACGTCGTTGACTTGTCTCGGTATTCTGCCGGCAAGCCATAAGATGCCTACGAGCTGCCAGTCCATGTCACAAGCACTGAAACCTTCCCTTTCACGTTGAACGCTCCCAGCTGCGGTGGAAGTTTGACAGCATTGACTCGACGCTGCAGCGGCTGCTCCATGAGGCCTCCAAGAAGAACATCATCGCGCACCTTGCCGTGACCGGTCACTCGAGCATGCCCTTCACGGAACGACAAATTGCCTTGCATCCTGGTGCTCCGAGCACCGACAAGCTTCTGATGACTGTCAGCAAGCTCATGACGGCAGACGAAGCGTCGCTCGTCAGGCTAAAGGCGATGCAGGACAACCCTTTGGATGAGACCCTTGTCGCCAGCAAGAGCCTTTTGTCGCAGCGTTGCGACTACTTTCGAGCCAGTGGGTGCTACCCTGGCCAAGCATTGGCAACTATGCTGTCCAATCCTTCTCACCGGTATGCACATGCTTGGCTTTGCTGTCGGATCTGCTCTCAGTGTTTCAATCTCAGTTCAGCGAGGCCCGCACGCTGTCGCAGAGCCAGAACGCGTCCATTCAGCCAGCGAAGGTGTCCGTTGAGGCCAGGTCGACCGGTCATGAAGCCAAGGAGGCCGTAATCCTGGATCAGCATGAAGGGACGAGCCTGCAACAGGAAGATGCTTCGTGCCCACCGCTTTCGAGGGAAGAGGCGTCAACTCGCCACAGCCCTTGCGATAACCCCGCAGATGGAGATTCCGCCTCGCGAGGGGCGCCGTCTTTCGAGACCGCTGTCGAAAGCGCCGCCGACGGCGCCACCGCAGAAGCACAGCGAGCGGGTCAAGGGGATCCGGTCCATGTCCCGCAAAAGCGTCGGCGCGCCTCAGTGGGCGAGCGGGACGGCGACGAAGCCGGATCTGCCTCGTCAGCAGTTCCGGGTCGCAATTCTCCTCTTCCACAGCCTGTCATTGAACTATTCGATGTCGACCCCGTCACGTTGCAGGCGTTGGTATTCTATCTGGTGAGTCTTCTGGCATCGTTGGCCTGGCCGATGAGGTGCGCGCTGCTGAAACAATGGGGCGCCTCTGCCCCTCGAGACGCCATAGTATACAGGTACTTGCATGTTCAGGTCACAGAAGCACGGCCAGGTGGTCTTGAAGCAGGCGCGAGCCTATTGGGAAGGCATCAAGCTCTCCAAATCTCCCTGGAGCGACGGCATGCGGCTCTGCGACGCCGAGAAAATGTACCAGGCGGCGGACATGGTGAGAGTTCGCGCCAAGGTCGACTTGGATGGAAGCCGCCGGATTCGCCGACTCGACGCCTGACGTCTTCCGCATTATCGGTACGAGACCCAACAGTACGGTCAGAAAGGCCTTCAGATCCTCGCAAAGCATCACGTCATTTCCGAGCTCGAGGTCTCGACGGCCTTCAAGGGGCTCTTCGCAAACAAGCTCGCACAGCTGTACGACGAGATGGTGAGCGCTCAGGACACGGAGCTTGGCGTCACCACATCATGTCTGAGCTCACTTCCTTACATCTTCCCTCGACGCTGCTGCTCCTGTCCAGCGCCAGGCCTACATCGACTTCTGCGTCGAGCACTTCAGCGAAATCTCGAAGCTCGACTCGTACCATGAGACGATGGCCGAGATCTTCTCGGGAACCTACCCGCCGAGCGCAGCCAAGTCTCTGCAGGCGATCATCACTCGGGTCACTACCAATCCGACGTAGCCAACGCACCTCTAGCGCTCCTCCGGGTGCTCTTCATCGTCACCCAGCGAGCGCAAGACACGGCGACGCCAAAACGACCCGCGACAACACAGGGGCTGCGCACGAAGACAGACTCGAGGCGACAAACACCACGCGGCGATATGCACGCTGCACAAAGCAGAATCACACCCGAGCACGACTGCCGACGTCTGCTGCGAGCTCGACTGACCGCAGCGCCGCAGAACCTACGTGCGCAGAATCCCGTCGCAACAGCATGAACGCGCAAACAGGCCGCGAGCAGAGCCCCGCCGCGACGAAGAAGACCGAGATGCCTGTACCGAAACCCAGCATGTCCGCGAGCGAAGCAGTTTCGGCTCGATGAGCAGCCATTCTCATTTGCCTCGGCGAGCGTGACGAAGCGGTCCCGTCCAATGTCCAGGGCGCGGCCGATGCCGCTGGCGATAGGAGCTTGACGGCAGTATCGCGACTAGCGACTGCGAGCGGGCTGTCTTGCACCCGGCAGGTCTGTCGGGAGAGGCAGTTTGAGATCCGGCCGGAAGAACCCAGCCCGTGATCTCGGAGGTGCTTGCTGACGGTGGGGACGGGCGGGGCGGTGGGACCTCGCAGCCCTCGATTTTTGTTCTTCTGCCTTCATCTTCTTGCCTCGGCGCTTTCTCCTCTCTCCCTACCCATCTCTCGTGTCCCTTCCGGTCCCTCTTGTACCATCTTCCTGATCTCCCTCATCCGTCCGTGAACTTCGCTCTTGGGAGACTGCCCAGCCCGTCCAACCTTCACCGCCTATCCCTGTCTCGACAGCGACACACCCAGCACAACCGTACTGCACGTCGCTTGCTTTTGTGACATATCGACAGCACCGACTGTACTAAATCTCCACCGCCATGTCCGCCTCCTCGAGTTCCGAAGGGCAGTCCAACAAAGGCCGCAACTGCAGAGCCGATCGCTCCGAATCGCTGCCCAATTCGATCGTCGCTGCCACCGTCATCCGCTCCGAGGGCACGCCGTGCGGCCCTCCTGCTGCGCTTCCACCGTTCGTCGACTATGGCACCCACTGGGTGCTCAGCGACACGCTCAACTTCGGAGTCATGGCAGACAAATCATGCACCTCGGCCGCCGAAGAGAACGTGGGCGAGCAAACGGACGGTTCAGTCGATGAGGATGCCAACGACGACGCGTCGGAAACAAGCGAAAGTCAGCTGTCTGCGAAAGAAGAGGCATCGACAAGCCCAGCCCAGCTCAGAAACTTCGCTCACGCCGAAACGCACGGCGATCTCCACCATCTGCTGGGCCATCCTCTCAAGATGTTCGGCACTGGACGGCACTGCAGGCTCTCGATGAGCCTTCGCAGCGGAGACATTTGGCTCACGTACAAGGGCGGCTTCGGCAGGTCCGCACCCAAGGAGCTCGGCGAGCCTGCCAAGCACGCTAGCCTTGCGCTGTCTTTCCTCTCCGACGGCTGCTTCCACACCTACTCCTGCTGCGCTGCCGGAGAAGATGTCCTCAGGCGAAACGACCACGAGAAGCGCCACAAACTGCCGGGAAGTGTGAGTGGCACGGGCCTGGGTTTTGAGCTCCGGACGCCGCCAGCGTGCCCTTCTTGGAAGGAAGGTAAAGCCTCGAGCTGACTGATCTCCGCTGCCCGCGTCCACCGTGGTGCGCATCCGTAGCTGCTTTGGGAACTTGAGTCGATTCCCTCGGCGCTGCAGCGGCTGCTTCATGAAGCATCCCAGCGGAACGTCGTGGTTCAACTCGCCGTCACTGGTCACCGCGTGGCGCCATCCAGCACGCGCTTGCTTGCCCTGCACCCACCGCCGCCCAGCACCGACCGACTGCTGCTGGCCGCTGCCAAGCTCGTTGCAGTGGACGAGACCAATCTGGTGATTCTCAAGGCCATGCAAGACAATCCCAAGGACAAGAGGATCATCGCCAGCAAGGCCCTGCTGAAGCAGCATTGCGAGTACTTTGAGGCCAGTGAGTTGCACATCGAATTGCGCGTTCCTCCTCGCCGCGGCGGTCAAGCGTAGCTCACGCGCATGCTGCGGCCATCTTGACCATCTTTAGTGTTTGAGTCGCAGTTCAGCGAGGGTCGCCAGCTTGCAGCAGCAGATGCCGACGTGAATCGCCAGCAATCTCAAGCCTCGGCACAAGGCGAGGAGCCGGCGCCGGCCGGACGCGACAGCGAGCAACCAGTAGCGGACGCGACACAAGAGGAGGCCTCGACCTCGCCGACCGTTGAGGGAGGAGAGAGTCAGCGTTCCGAGAGCGCGACTGACGAACCCAAAAAGCAATGCGCCGACCCTGTGCGGTCGGACTCGTGCAAGCTCGCCGCCGACGCAATACCAAGCAAGAGAGCACGTCCCGTCAGCGAGGTGCAATGCTCGACAAAGCGACGGCGCTCTTCTCATGGCGATGAGAATAGCGACGGTGCGGCCCCTTTTGCAAGCGCAGGATTGACGGCAAGTCACCTCTCGCTGCCCGTCATCGAGCTCCACGACGTCGACCCCCTGTCGCTGCAGGCCCTGGTCTTCTACCTGGTGAGACTTCCCTTTACCTCCCAGTGCCTACTTGCTCAGCCGCTGAGAGGAGCCCGCTGAACGCGATCGTATCCTCGTGATCACCGCCAACTGCTCCGCAGTATACTGGAACCTGCATGTTCTGGTCGGACAAGAGGGGCCAGACCATCATCTCTGAGACCGAGGCTTACCCTGGCGGGCCCGACTTCACCCGATCGCCTTGGAGCAGCGGCATGCAGCCTTGCAGCGCCGAGAAGATGTACCAGGTGGCGGACATGGCGAGCATGCACGCCCGTGAGCTGAGCGTCGTAAGCGTCCTAATCTCGAACCTTGTGGTCTCTCGCTGGGTCAGTACGGCAACGAGTCGCTCCAGTCGCGTGCGCGAGAGCACCTGATCAGCGAGCTCGACGTCCAGACCGCGTGGAAGAACCTCTTCTCGAGCAAACTCGCGCAGCTGTACGACGAAGTCGTGAGTGGCACCGACCGCCTTGTCGTGGTGTCGTCCCCGAAAGCAGAGAACCTTGCTCTGACCTTGGCTTCTGACCTACTACAAACAGCAAGAAGACTACATCGACTTTTGCGTCGAGCACTTTGATGAGATATCAGAGCTCGAGTCGTTCGAGCACACCGTGTCTGAGCTCATCTCTGGAACGTACCCGCCATCCGCGGCCAAGATCCTTCGGACGGTCATGGCTCGCATCAGCAAGAGAGACAGGTGAAAGTGTCATGCACCACGTCGTGCTTGTCTCGCCGTCTAAGCGCTTAAAGAGCAGTACGGTCAAACGCCGCCCAGGAGGCGCCGAGCTCCCACGCAACGGACTGCGCATGGCGACATGCGATTCGCTCAAAAAGCAAGTGGGTCGCAAAGCGCCCGCGCCATGGTATCGATGTCGGCCGCGAAGTCGCTCTCCGAGCGTAGCAGCACCCGTTCCGTCATTAAAACTCAATCGCACACACGAGGCGAGCAGCGGGGCAGCGTAGCTCTGCGTCGCAGAGAGATGTAGAACGAGGACGAGGCGAGATGCATGTAGTCGCCAGTCGAGCTGTGCCCATGGAGCGAGAATCAATGCCGTACCGATGCGCATTCGCGGTGTGCGTGGCTGTTGCGCATGCTTTTACCTCGTGGCGCCGCTGATGGACCGCAGGCCTGTGCATCGCTGTATATGCTGGTGCGCTCGAGCGAGGTGCAGCGACGGGTAGCAGGTAGCGAGAGCGGGTGGCAAGGGCAAAGGGATCGATCCGTGGCTACGTTCGTCAAGGGCGGCCATGCACTCCGTGTGGACAAGCCCACAGCATGGGGCCGATCGAGATGCCTAGATTGA